TGGTGTCCGGGTGTCTTCGGGTGTCCTCCTGCCTGAGGGGTCCGGGAGGCGGCGGCGGCCAGGGCAGGTTGTACTCCTCGCTCCAGCGGCTGGCCCTCGTGAGGGAGAACCCGGGCCACCTGGCTGTGGGCCATGAGAGGGGCTAGGAGTCAGAGTCAGCCACTCTGTGGTGCCCAGGTGGACCTATCTTTGGTGGCACCCCCCAAGGGCAGAGGGTGTCCATTCATCCTCTGGAAATGACACTCATCGAACGAGGCACACGTGAGACCAAAGGCAGCACCGTTCCACCTACTCGGCTCCGTGGGCGTCTCAGCTGGGCGCTGGCCGGGGAGCCACTCTGTTTTTGAAGAATCTTCTGAGGGCCTGCCCTCTGGTGGGGGCAGGTCCCGGGGGGTCCCTGGGTGCTGGTGCTGGTGCTGGTGGCGCTGGCGCTCCAGCTGCGGGAGCCACTCTGTTTTTGAAGAGTCTTCTGAGGGCCTGCCCTCTGGTGGGGGCAGGTCCCGGGGGGTCCCTGGGTGCTGGTGGTGGTGGCGCTGGCCCTCCAGCTGCGGGAGCCACTCTGTTGGAGCGTCCGGAGCCGGTCCTGGGGTCCTGCCCGCAGCAGCACAGCCTCGCCAGACCGGTGGCCATCCTCCGGAACACTCCCCTCCATCCCCTGGCGGTGTCACGGGCCAGGCCAGGGGTCCTGGTGCCAGCAGGGGGTTGCTCGGTGGAGTTGGAGGACCCGGGCAGAGGGGCCGTGGGGCCTGCAGTAGGGACGCTGGCCGACAGGCAGCACAGCATGATGGCGGGCAGGCTGGCTCTCCTGCTGCCCACCTGCCCTGAAGGCTTGAGCTCCTCAGGCTGCTGCTGCTGCTGCTGCTGCTGCTGCTGCTGCTCACAGGCCCAGAGGGGCCAGGAGCGAATGGCCGGCCCGCTGACACCCCACCTTGGGCCCAGAGTCAAGCTGGAGGGGATGGACAGGGACGGGCAAGGGCCCACCTGTGGCCGCCCGGGTATCTGCAGCCGCACCTGGCAGCCCGCCCCCCGGGTTTTCTGGTGGCCCAGCAGGAGGTAGGTGGCCATGGCCTGGTTGAACTGGCGCGTCGCCACCGACACCCAGGTCTCCTGCAGCCCGTAGCCCAGGTCCAGCATGGCCAGCAGGATGGAGGTGTCCGGGCGCTTGGGGAGCAGCTCGGCGGGAGGACTCGGGCAGCGTTCCCCATCCTGGCTCAGCCACGGGTGCCCCAGGATCTGCTGCAGCGTGGGCCTGTGCGCGGGCTCCAGGGTCAGCATCCAGGA